CAGAACAGGTTTTTTTTTCAAAAAAGACCTTGGCTCCCAAGTCGACCTAGTCTTGAGTGGGTACCAGGTGTAGCTTTGGGAAGTCAAGGCGGCCGGCGTGATGTTGACCACATCAACCACCAAGAGCCGATTGGTCTAAAAATATAGTCTAGCCCTATATACCCAGGACGTCTGACGTTGTGGAAAAAGGTCCTTTACTTGACTTTGGGCAAGTTTCTAGGGGGCTAGTGCATTAACTCTTTTAGTCTCAGAAGGTCATAGCTGATACCCAGATGATGCAGTAGCTAATGACAGCAGCAAAATCATGGGCACACTACATCCACAGGAGCTAAATACACAACCCTTGTAGGAGTCTTGTTGGGTGTTTTACTATGCCGTGTCCAAACATTACATGTTCTATATTCTATATCCTCTTCATGACGCTGTTGACATATAAGGCATTCACAAGTGATCTCCATTGCTGCTGGTCTGCTGAGTTTCTGCTCATAGTATTCAATGTCAGTTTACACTAATTCAATTCCCGTTTTGTTGTCCTTCTCCAGGTTTCCTTATGTCGTCCACGTCACCTTTTCCCATCTGCTGTCCACAGGAGAGCTGTGTTTTTTGCCAGTGTCACCAGGCATTCTGCAAACATGTCCAAGCCATCTTCATCGTCTTACTTCGATAGTATTTGCCAGTGATGTACATTCTGTTGTCCTCCTCAGTTCTTCCCTTGTGATCTTGTTTGGCCAAAATACTCGTAGAATTTTCCTTAAACATTTATTTTTTAAAGTCTCAAGTTTGTGTTTAATTCCCGCTGTCATTTTTCAACATTCACTGTTATATTCCTAAAATGTGCTCTTGTATTTTATGCGTTTTGTCTTCAAACTAAATCCCTTTGACTTCCATATATTGTTAAGCATGACAAATACTTGATTTGCTTTGTCTATTCTTGATGTTACATCCTTTTCAGAGTCTCCATCTGGAGTACCTTTCTATCTCATGTAACTCCCTTTATCAGCCAGTCGATGGCCAAATTGAACGAAAAAGGGGGAGAGTACATAACATGTACAAGCATAATAATATTATGACTGGTGCATATGAGTAAAAACAGGCACACATGATGTGTTGTTTGGGACTAAATGAATTCAGACGGCATTGCCCCAAAACACAATCCCTCTCAAACACGGTGAATGATCTCGAGATATGGCGTCCGCCTGGTCTCTGGGTAGTAAGATCGAACGCCTGTGCGTATTACTGCGCACGTAAAAAAAATCTGTTAGCAGTTGGAAATTGAAAAAAGTAGCCTAACGGCGCTGCAGGGACAAAATTTGGAGACAACAATCTACCTAAAGTGTTTCAGGATCCTCGCCGGTGCTATGGATTTCGTGCACTATAATAAGATTCTTCCGACTCAGGCTTTGGTTAGAAGTAGAAGGGAGCACTTATGGGTTACTACCTTTGTGCAATGATGTTGATCCGTTGAACACACCAAACCAAACCAAACATGGAAACCACCGTGTAACCACTTTAGGTGACACCGGATGAGAACCATCGCCTTGGAAACTGGGAACTGTAGAAGTAGAAGCAAGTGATAAAGGTCAACAGGCCAGATACTTGATGAAGATAGGTACTTTATCAGTCGCATTCAACTTGGCTATCTTTATTTTCAGGTTTACACTGCCTTTTGGATGTCTCCCCAGCCATCTTCCCCTAATACAATCGCCCTGGGATGTTGCGGAGGGCAAGAATGACATAATATTAGATGGCCTGAACTTTAACCAATCAGGGTCCCGTGATAATTTCACATCTGAACCGACCTACATTCCTTCCGCCTGTGTGCATAATTAATGTTCAGAATGTCAACTACGGACATTAATTGCAACACTCTGTAAATAAACAACACTCTGTAAATAAAAACACTCTGTAAATAAACAACACTCTGTAAATAAACAACACTCTGTAAATAAACAACACTCTGTAAATAAAAACACTTTGTAAATAAACAACACTCTGTAAATAAACAACACTCTGTAAATAAACAACACTCTGTAAATAAAAACACTGTAAATAAACAACACTCTGTAAATAAACAACACTCTGTAAATAAACAACACTCTGTAAATAAAAACACTCTGTAAATAAACAACACTCTGTAAATAAAAACACTCTGTAAATAAACAACACTCTGTAAATAAACAACACTCTGTAAATAAAAACACTCTGTAAATAAACAACACTCTGTAAATAAACAACACTCTGTAAATAAACAACACTCTGTAAATAAACAACACTCTGTAAATAAACAACACTCTGTAAATAAACAACACTCTGTAAGACACAAACAAGAAAAGACACACGGTGCTCTTGAAAATTTACACTGGTTTTCTGTAATTGAAAAACAATATAATCATCATCAATTTCCACGTCTGCCGTTGAAAAGCATTATTATTTTATCGCAAACAAACAATGTATCGTGTCCCCTGAGATCGCTGTAAAAATTAAAGAACATTATTATTTTATTTCATTGTATTCAAACAATGGATGGCGTTCCCTATGATCGGCGTGAATATTAAAGAACATTATTATTTCATCTCAAACAAACAATAGATTGCGTCCCCTAAGTTCGCCGTAAATATTAAAGAATGTTCCCATATAAGATGCAATTTTGACTGACTGACTGAATTTCTACCCCACTAGGGCATCACACAAGCGATAAACACCCGATGACACAAATTGCCACCATGTGGATGAGGATCACCGTGGAGAGGTCCCAGAAACCGCGTTCAGACAATTGGCCATATTGATGGCCTGCCTATATTGCGGCCCCTGGCAAAAGCCATAGTGGGGCTTCAAATAACAAAAAAATTACGTCCTGAAAAGGGCGTAATTAAAATATATATATAGAAAGCAGTAAAGATGCAATTTTTCGTTATTTGAAGCCTCATCCTAACTTTTGCCCTAACCACAGCTGGGTCATAAATATGGCCTAACGGCTGAACGGGGTTTCTTGGACCTCTTCACGGGTGATCCTCATCCACATGGTGGCACTTTGTGTTATCAGGTGTTTATCGCTTTGTGTGATGTCCTGGTTTGGCACAACTTACATGCAAACACACTTAAAGAACATTAATATTTCATCGCAAACAATGGATTGCGTCCCCTATAAATTAAAGTAAGTACAGTATTACTTTTATCTGCTGTCCTTTTTAGGATGACATTTTTCTTTATTTGAAGCTCCACCCTGGCTCTTGCCAGGGGCCGCAATATAGCCAGGTCATAAATATGGCCTAATGGCTAAACGCGGTTTCTGGGACCTCTCCACGGGTGATCCTCACCCACATGGTGGCACATTGTGTCTATCGCTTGTGTGATGTCCTGGTGGGGTAGAAAGTCAGTCAGTCAAGTAAGTACAGTAAAATGAAGTTACTACTTTTCGTCCTTCTTAGGACGTTATTTTTTGTTATTTGAAGTCCCACTCTGGCTTTTGCCAGGGGCCGCAATATAGGCAGGTCATCATTATGGCCAAATGTCTGAACGCGGTTTCTGGGACCTCTCCACGGTGATACTCATCCGCATGGTGGCACTTTGTGTCATCGGGTGTTTATCGCTTGTGTGATGTCCTGGTGGGGTAAAAAAAAACCAAACCAATCCAAGTACAGTAAAGATACTTCTTCACCTTTTAAGCGCATCGGACATATAGGAAGAGTAGCCACCATATTTTTACAGACCATTCGGCACTAGGTGGGTAATGTGGTCACTCCGGATGTCTTTACTTCCCCAGTGCATACATCCTTGTACCCATTTTAGGCTGGGTCGGCCTGATACACCCCATACCAAGATAAAAATTCACGCAGCCAGCAGTGGGTTTCGATTGCGGTACGTTGGAATTACAAGTCAGACTCGCAACGGCGTTCCCTATAACAAAGTCGAAAATGTTACCCTTCAAAGGTCATGGCAGCAATACTAGTTATGTAGTTATTAAGTCTTACGGAACTTTCTCAGCCGACAACACCCTAATTTAATGTAATAAACACAGACAATAATTAAGTAAAAAGAAGGACCCTTTTTCCACGTCTTTATGTTATAGGGTATATAATGCTAGAATTACATCTTTGAGACCAATCGTAACGCTGTGTATGGGGTGGTCAACATTACGCCGGCCGCCTTTGCTTCTCAGGACTTGGCTTAGTAACAGTTACAATTAGTAACAGTTACAATTAATAACAGACACAGTTTTAGGCTGGGTCGTGGCTACTGAAATACAGACAGTCAAAACGGTATTGCTCTCTAAAAAGGCAACCAGTCTGGTTTCATGCTTTCCCATTTTTATTCTTCTTCTTCCTAAATCTGCTTCGCCCTAAACAGGACGGTTGGTACATTGTGTTGAGGTTTAAAATGTCAGCAAAATTAGTCTTCTTTTACGACATGCCTGTTTAGAAGACAGTGGGTCCCTCTCTCTCCTCCCCTCCCCCCACAATAGCTGAAATACACACAAGGAACATATGTCATTTCATGTTATTTCCACCCCATAATGCATAGTTCCTTTATTGTCGTCACACATGCCAATGAAAACTCAACAGTAGTGACCCATGTAGCGTAACCAGCCAATGAAAACCCAGGACACTAAAGACCCGGAACGTGGTCAGGGTTGAGTGTGTTGTCACAAGTACCGCGTGTGTGACGGGCAAGTTAGTTGTCAGTCGAGGGGTATAGCCCGTAGCAACTATTTTGGAAGCTTTGTTTTGTTTAGAAACTATTGGCTATTTTCATTACTGAGATAAATTAAGCGTTTAGAAATTGTTGTTTCAGTGGGTGACATTAATGTTTCATTAAATTTTGTTAAGCTGGATGTAGGTTTTTAAAGTATTTTATTACTGAATATTGACAATAATAGAAAATATATTTAGGTGATTCTAGACTGTAAAGCTATAAGTGCGCTGTGTTGAAGTGCTCATCCACGAACGACTGTTTAACCAGGATTATTTATCGATATCAGGTTTATCCCGGTCTTTGCCAAGATGACAGCCAATGGAATTAATGGCAGCAGCAGATCTGATCTGCACTGGAAAGTTGGCTTAGTTAACAGCGCTGGGAAGTTCCTTACGGCAGAGTCGTTCGGATTTAAAGTCAACGTTTCGGGGACGTCATTGAAAAAGAAGCAGATATTCATCCTGGAACAAGACTCCCATGAAGAAGTGGTGTATATAAAAAGCTACCTAGAGAGGTATATGTCAGCGGATAAATATGGCAAGGTTACATGTGAGAGCGAGGAGAGAGGACAGACTGAAAAGTTCGTTGTGGAGTACGACAAGAATGGGACAGGAAGATGGGCTTTCAAGAACGTTGTCCATGGAAACTTCTTAGGAGGCAGTGACGATAATTTGAAGTGTTTTTCAAAGTCTGTGACCGAATCTGAGCTCTGGATGGTCAATCTGGCCATTCATCCACAAGTTAATGTTCAAAATGTGAACAGGAAAAGATACGCCTGCGTCAAAAACGAAGAACTGCAGGCCACAGAAGTGATTCCTTGGGGACCAGAGTCGGTTATTATTCTTCACTTTGATAATGGCAAGTACGCTCTGAAGACATTTGACAATCGGTTTCTAAACAAGGATGGGACCCTGAGTACAGAACTGAGCGATGACAGTCGTTTCTGTATGGAAATCAGAGGCGGCAGCAACAGTGGGTTTGCTTTTAAAGATTGTTCAGGATTGTACCTTACTGCTGTCGGATCCGCCGCTACGATGAAGGGACGTAACAAGACAGTGAGTAAAGATGAACTGTTTACGCTGGAGAATTCGTGCCCACAGGTCGTCCTGACGTCACTTTCCAACAACAAGAAGATTTCAATCCGACAAGGTATGTGTATTTTTTATTTTATTTGTAATATTTTTTAGTTGTGGTAGTATAGTGGATAAGGTGATTGCTTACTAAAACAATAGTCCAGTTTCAAACGCCCGAATTAGAGAAGTTTAGTAGGATTTCTTTCCCGACTAATATTGGGGGGGGGGGGGGGGGTGCGGAAAGTCGATAGAGTAGTGGCTGGACGTTCCTTCCTTTAACTTGTTTTCCCAGTATAACCTTAACCTTATTGAGCATGTTTTGGGGCTAACTTTCATTAACTCTTAGTTCATTAACTTTTTTTTTGATAGTTTTTTTTAAATATTTTTTTTCTAGAAATACCTGTTTCTGTATTTCTTCTTTGATCGTCGGCTCTGTGGCTAAGTCGATGCCAACGCTTCGTAATGCCGGGTTCAATTCCAGCTGCGGGCCTTGCGTTGGTTTCGATAGTGGTATCAAGAAAGCCGACCGTCCAGGAAAACAATGGCAAACTACTGGACGTAAATTTGCCTAGAGAAACCACACAACAGCCAGGGGCTGTGTGGGTTCGTCCTGCAACGTCCTATAAAGGATACGCAACAACCTTCTTTGATCCCTTTTTGAGTAAACATTATACCAGAAAAGCTAAATGAAAGCTACCTTGCAGCCCATCTCGTTTTTTTTAAAATTGGGGTTGGAAGATGCGAGATGACCTTTCTGTTAGCTACTGCGTACCTATATCTGGTCTGCATTATCCTTATAAGGCTGTACATAGACAGGGCCAATAAAACCTTTTTGGGGGTGGGGTGGGGGTTGCCTAGTTGACATGTTCTTAGTGCACTTGTATCCATGGCGAGGTGGACACGCCGTCTGGAGGTGACAGGTTCAATTCCCGGCAAGGTAACTATAGCTTTCGATTTTTATGTTGTCTCGTGTGTTCTTCTATCTTTCTACTTCTTCCTATGAGTGCCGATCAATACACTTTCTGTTACTTGATTAATTTATGAAGCGGAAGACATTCACTTTTCCAGAGCCATATGTCGACTTTTTCAACCTGTTGTATACATTAATCCAGAGTTGACTAAACATCCGGCAGCAGTCAAGTTAGTAATTCCCATTGCTTGGATTGTGGGGGGGGGGGGGGGGGGGGGGGGTAATTTAAAATCTTTACACTTTATTATTTGTATGTGAAAAATATCTCGACTGCTGTTTCCTGGAAAACCAAAATTCCAAACTTGCTCATCTTTCAACTGGCTAGACGCCCTCTAGTGTAATATTCAAGAGAGTTTCTTTGATGTATTATTTGTGTTCCAATTCTTTGTAGTGTGCTGTTACACACCTGATTTTCCGTTTCTTTATCTTCTTTGTCTGTAAAAATATTTCTACTAGTTCTTTGTATTTATATCTTCTGCTGATTCTCCACCTGCCAGTTTGGCTCATTGTCCTCGGTTTTACATTTCCTTCCTCTTTCTCTGGGCCAGTTACAGTTAGTCACCATAGTTACTGCCCTACCAGATCAAACCACAGCACAACAAAGACCGCGACAGTTCCCGAGGACTACATGCCTTCCTGCAGCCCTTTATGTGAAAGAATACTCACACTGACTGACTGCTGTCACGGTTCATTGAGTTGTCACTTTGTATTGAAACGACGCATGCAGCAATGACCTTTGACCTTAGGGGTTCTTTCCATGCGTCCCCCCCCCCCCCACCCCAACCTCCTAACACGCTGATATCTTAGACTGCATGGTCATTTTTGAAACTGGGTACCCTTTGTTCAGAGGGCAGGTGGATGAAACTGCTAATGTTTAGACAAGAAATTGGAGGTTGGGTGCAGTAGAGAAGGGACACTTTTCCACATCGTTAGACGTAGTGGGCTTTCAGTTCTAGTCCTTTATTTTATCGACCAGTCGGCTCTTGGTGGGTGATGTGGTAAACATCATGGCGGCCGCCTTGACTTCTCAGGACTTTACCTGGTACCCATTTTATGTTTGCCGACCTCGGATACATTCGGCTGGGTGCGAATTTTAGCCTACAACCTTCAGGTCCGATGCGAGCGCCTAGCCGCTACAACACGGCAGCTCCCTGCTGTAATGTTTCCACTGTCACGAGAACGCTCTTTATGACTGAAACGTTAGGCTCAAAGAGGCGGAAATAGTTGAGAGCTGGATATTGCTTATCCGAGCTTATCAGAGCCGGCTGGGGGTTGTCTTGGGAACGCTATGGGTACGCTACACAGGGAGTGTCCGTGACCGACTGTATGTAGTTAAACCAACTAGAGTCGACCATGGTGTGTCCGCAACCAAGTAGTTAAACATTTTGCCTCACAAGCTGAAAATTCGAGTTCGTTGCAGGTTCTGTCTTCAAAGGAGATTTATGGGATCATAGTTGGATCTATAGAGTTCGTGCTTCATGCGACATGGCAGGGTAGCAATCCGCTCTGCGGTGAGACCACGCAGAACGGGATAAAACGCGAATACGATCTTCTCGTCGAAAATTCTAAACGTTGCTCTAATATGGCTATTCAGCTGGCGAGCTGCGGAAGAAATGTGGCCCACTGAGACCTAGCAAGTGGCCCGCGGATCACTGACACCTGTATTGTATTATTGATTTTACTGTGCGGGGAGCTCTGGCACGTGAGTCACTATTTTCAGTAGTTTGGCCCCTGGGTAAACTTAGCCGAACAGCGCTGCTCTGATATAAGAGGTTAGATGTCATTCATCTGGGATTGCATTGCGGAAACACCTGTTTCCTTTTTGTTTCTGCTCTTTGCTGGTTTAGTGGTTATGAACGCAGTTTCCTCATTCTAGCACGCACATGGGATTGACTTTAAAAAAAAATTTTAATGAGCCTTTAACTGACCAGGAGTCAGTGACAAACTACTGAACGTAAAAATTTCACAATAAATCAACAAACGGCCAGCGAATGTCGAGATTCATTTGCGACGTTCTGCACTCGATGATCAGCTAAACTGTTATTCCTCTATGAGGTATCTGGTGACCGGCTCACTTCACTTATAGGAAAGGCAAGACGGCTATATACCCATTTCACCAGCTGTCCCATTAGTGTTGGAACTCTGCGCTGCTGAAGATGAGAATGGAGCATGCTTGTGAATGCCCCGAGTGCTGTGATGTCAATTCTTGACTCAACTCCTCTTGGTCTAAGTTTCATCATCGTGTGCCGTGCCGGTAAACGTAGGCTGTAGTGCTTCGTCATCTCACACGATCACTAGAAGGTTGACCACCATCCTCCCCCATTGGGAGGTGGCAGGGGGCGGGGCACCTGAAAATCTGAGCGTTCCCTACCCGAACCCAGCTGCTTGCCTAGAGTATTTGTAGTCGAATGAAGAGGGTGTGGTCTGGGTGTTCTCCTAATGTTTCTTACCTAATATATGGAAGGAAAAGATAGGGGAGGGTGGGGGGTAGATGAATAGAAAAACAGGCAGACAGGGGAATAAACAGGCAGACAGACTGGTTGAATCTGTACCGCTGGGTGGTAAATTGATACATGACAAGTCAGATGATAGGCAGCGGCACTGTTCGAAACAGGGGCAAATTTGTTGCTTCTGTCGGACGGTGGCCGACGCATTTTTGCTCCATTTGTAGACTGGATATAGTTTCGTCACCCAGCTTCTGAGTTGAATGCATGGCGCGACCCTGTGAGCTGCGGATTGCATTTGGAATGTTTTTTTCGACTGTGACCAACGTGTTGGTGTGAATTGTAGATTCAGAAAATGGCGCGATGCCTGTCGTGCAGTGTTGTGGTGCCCGTTTGTGATTATAATTGATCGCGTGGGCAACTGCTGATCTGTTGGCGACTTCTGCTACCATCAATGATGAAATTCATTTCTAAAAATGTGATAAACATTCTGTGTGTTTTTCGTTGGCACAGGGGCGGAGCAAAGATGGGGTGACCCGTTTGCTATGAAGCTGAAACTAAGACTACCAGATGTGGTCAGAATCCTTTGAGAACAAGTAACCAAGTCAGAAGAGAAACTGGATTATTTTGGGCTGCAAAAAATGACGCACCTGGGTGTGACCACAGGGTTTGGTTGGCACACCACGATATGGTATACGTCATGTAGGGTCGTAGTCGATGATATCAAAAGGGGAGTCGGCACAGAACCTATATTGAACTTTATAGGTAGGCAACAAATCAATTGGTTTGGCCATGTAACAAGAGTGACATCAAACAGTGCACCACAGAGAACAATGTTATACAGGTACAAGGGTAACAGAACCAGAGGTCAACTACGCAGAAAATGGATCGCATAAATATCGGAGACACTGAAAAGTACTTTATACGAAGCAAACAAAATGGCCGCCAAAAATGCCTTCTGTCCTAACGCAGCGAGACAGTCCAGTAGAGAACAAGAAGAAAGGCCTGTAGTCTGTTCATCTGTTCCCTTCTGTTCTTCGTGTAACGTTTTGCTCTGCCCCTCCAATTGTTTGCCCATGTCTTTAGGAGGGCGGTGGGGGGGGGGGGGGGGGGTGACTGAGCGCCCACATGTTTTTGTCATTGAAGAGTGCCTGGAGGTCCCCATCTTTTGTTCATGTCAGAAGGGTGAGGGGTGAAAGTCCAAATGTTTTCTCAAGGGAGAGGTGGAGGTCCCCATCTTTTGTTCATGTCAGAAGGGTGAGGGGTGAAAGCCCAAATGTTTTCTTAAGGGAGAGGTGGAGGTCCCCATCTTTTGTTCATGTCAGAAGGGTGAGGGGTGAAAGCCCAAATGTTTTCTTAAGGGACAGGTGGAGGTCCCCATCTTTTTCCTTAACAATTGCTAAGCACCTTCCCTTCCCACAATGTTTTCTACGTTGCAGCGCGCCCGTTTATTGTTCTCATCAAAGCTCACACATCTTTTGTGTGTAGCATGCATGTCTGTGAAATCGTTTTCTATTATCAGTCAACCTGGCAAGTTGATATGTCAGAATGGCGTGACGCCGTTTCCGTAATAATCAGATAAATGTGTGTTTGGGCATGTCGGGCGATGTTCAGCAAATGCCCGGGTCTTGTCTTTCAGGAAGTACAATCGGTAATGGTGGA